TCCTTCCTTCCTTCCTTCCTTCCTTCCTTCCGCACTTCCGCACTTCCTTCCTTCCGCACTTCCTCCCTCCCTCCCTCCCTCCCTTCCCCTCCTTCCCTTCCTTCCCTTCCGTTTTATTTTGAAATTATGAAATCAGGGGAGAAGCAATCCAAATAAGCTGTGGAAGTCACTCTACAAAAAAGAGAGGAATAAAGTAATGTACATTACCTCAAGACTATCCCACTGTTTTTATCTCATATATATGTAGAGGTAAGTACAGTATCTATTTATCTTAAGAATTTCCTGAAGCAAAATGAATATAGAAAAATCTCAAATACATGTAGCAATGAGAAAAATCTGGGATGTAAATTCCAGTGACTGATTTACATTCAATAGACTCCTTTACCATTTGCTTCTCAGATTTCATTGATCCTCCTTTCTGCAACTTGTACCACCTGCAGGTTTCTTTCATTTCTTTATAAATAGAGTCACTTGAGGTAAACCAGGCCACTATCAAACACCCAGGGGCCAGTGCAGTGCAGTATTTTCTTAGAAAGTCATTGAGAGGATACTGGCTCTGGGAGTCACATCCAGGGTCAGCTCGGGCACTCATTTCTAACTCTGTGCTGGGCTCAGTCAGCAGAGATGCTGGCATCCTGATGAGGGCACAGGTTGTTGTTTTCCTGCGGCTGCTCCCCTGCACAGCCCAGACACAACAGGAGCTGCACAGAGGCTGCTGCCCCAGCTGCAGAGGTTGGAGTGGCACAAGCATTCACCAGTGACACAATCACTTAATCATGCTGACTAGTGGAAGGGTCAGACAATAATCTGACCTTTGAGGAGTAACTATTAAAACAAGGAGGTCAAAACCATCCGTTCCCAGAGACAGTGGTAGTAGCACACAACAGGTGTTCAGCTGGACTCAACAGTGGACTGTATCCTTAAGTTCTTCCAACATACAGACCACATGTTGTTACCAACAACAGAATCTCCTCTCAGTCCCACCTTCACAAAATTCCACAACTAAACTAGTATTTTTTAGAATACTGTTTATGAAAGATAGCTAATAAACTTTTTTTATGAATTAATGTCCTTTTCTTGGGAGAGGCAAACATAAGTTACAAACCCTACATGCCATTTTGCACAGAAAACCATAGGTGCTTCAGAATCTTCAGAAGAGCTCCATCGATGGGCAGTGTAGTATGGTGAGACCTATTTGGTGAACTTGTGAGAGGACAGACAAATCAGTGCTAGTTCCTCTCATCCAACCTCACCTAACACAGATGAGTAATAGCCAGCTATTGCTGGTGCCATGGAGATGGTACAAAGCAACTGCTTGAAGACTGAAACCATGTGGTGGCTTTGTTGAATGCTGGAGATGCTGCTCAGCTCTGCACTCCAGCAGGGTTTCACAGAGCAGCTCTAACTCCAAAGGATTTTCAAAGTCATGATTCATGCACATTAACTAGGAAAAGTAGGACATAACACATGCTCCTATTCTAAAGGACTTCAGTGCCAAGGCACAATGATCTCTGACCATTCTCAAATTGTAAATTAACTGCTGGGTTTTGTTTTCCTTGATGTTCTGTTAGGTCTGAAGAATAAGAATATAATGACAGTCACAAGCAGACGTAGGTAATAAAACTCTGTGACAGGGCTACTATTTTCAAAACTGCCTTCTGAAAATATTTTTTTAATTTCAAACACATATTTAAATACATATACACACATGCAGAGACTGAGAAAGCATGCTATCCAAACTTTAATGAAATTTGTCTATTTCTCTTCAGGCTAAAGAAGAAAAAGATTTTTTTTTTCTTTGTGTTTAGATATTCATCTGAGCCTCTGAGAGAGGTTAATCTGGAGTCTCATAGAGTTTGTGGTCCCAACTTCTTTAGAAACATTTAATCAGCCCACTAGAGTCATTGCACTTTCTGAGTCTGTTTTTAATTTAAGATCAGGAATACAGGCTTTTTTGAAAGAAAGTCCTTTTTCCACTGGGAAGTGAGTTTTCCTGACTGCCTTTTAATGTCATATAATTAGGTAGAAGGATGCACTACAGGGATAACACATTATATGACAGAGGAGAGGGTGACCATAAGCTTCCTGATATTCTCCATATCAAATATGATTATTATATAAAATCGCTCTTAGGACACTTTCAGGGATTGATCAATACTCATTTTTAGGATTTCAATGGAGTCGGGTCAGATCATATAAGTGTTTTATTTTTAAATCTAAGTTGTTTTCCAGGTGCATTCTTATGTGTCTGTCACTGCTTATATATCTTATTTAGAGAGCTAAAGAATGATATCTCACCACATAGGTAGTTCTGTGTGTATTTTGTTTTCCTGTCATAGATTATTTTACTGCGTAACTCACCTCCTTTTTGGAGAACTTTGCTACAGTTCACACAGAGGTAACCACAGATACCTGAAAAAAAAAAAAAAATGATCCTTTCACACTAATGGATAAGTATTAATTTCATGCTCCTTTTTAGAATTTAATAACATTGCTCTTGCATATAATTTTTAATTTAGAATTTATCTTATACATATATATAAATATTTTGTGAGCTTAAGACCAAATTCTATCCTTATCTATAATAATGAAAAAATATTAAAGAACAAAAAATAGTTCTTACTGACAAAGTAAGAACTGAAATAAGCTTCAGCTTTGTGTATTGACTTTAAGTCATGAACAATAGTAAGAGTAAGATAATTCAGCCTTTACAACCAGTACAGAAAGCTGAATCTGTCTCATTTTCAGCATTAGCAATACATGAAACCCACCTGGGAATCCTGGGAAAGCCCATTCAACACTCATTTTCAGCTTTGTTTTGTTTTTCTCCTCCCACTTCCCAGCCTACATGAACACTGAAGGACATACAATCCGTGTTGTTTTCCCACCTGTAATGAAGTACGCTGGGGCAAAAACCCCGCCAGAAAACTAGGCTATAAATGGTCTCTTAACCCATTACAGCTGCACCAGACATACAAATTGGCTGCATGTGTTGTGTTCTTTCACTTTAAATACACTCTACCTTTAGAGGTTATTCTTTAAGCTATCTTCTGTTGCCATAGGCACACTAGGTTGAACAGATCTAGTTAAACACAAACAAGACAAAAATAAAACGTGTGAACCTGTGCCTTGAGAAAAAGACACCCTGCCTTTTCCAAGGATTCCACAGAATGAGCATTTTTGACAATATTTATATATGCTGGGTTTTCAACTCTACCTTGGACCTCCAGCGTACAACGATTCTACACATACACACCCACACTGTACACACATTGGCATATGGTATTTACAGTACACCTTCCATATTATCATATAACTTTCTTATTTCCCACTATGAAACACAGAGAAAATTTATGCTGTGTTGCATACAGTATGCTGTATTCAAGTGAACTTTACTACATACAAAGTTTCAAGAGCAGGTCTGTGCGAATCATTAACTTTTCAAAAGGCACCAGTTCCCTTCTGTCACTAATGACATGCGTAACAGTTTAATGTAATGCTACTTTTAATTATCAGAGCCCTTTCTTTTAAATATCAAATTTCCCTCTCTAAATTGTCCTGAGTTCTCTTTACAGTCTCATCTGTCACTGTAAATGTCATCACTTTATTCCTTCTTTGGATGCAGTGACAGGCCCACTCTTATCCCCAGCTTTATCTCTTTTTCCATCCTTTATTGTACTACAAAGATCCCTCTTTCATAGTTTACAGCTGTATCCGCTTTCCACACGTGGCAAATGATTGCCTCGGTAAAGGTATTTTCTGTTTCAATCTTGCATTTTCCCAAGGGAGAACAAAAGGGACAAGCTTTCTGGAGTTGGTTTCACTGAGAAAATTGTTTAGAATTGCCTCATTCCTCAACAGATTAACGAATGCATACAATCCCGGCTTAAGTGCTATTGTACAGCACAATTTGTCCATTATACTTTGTCCCTTCCATTTATAAAACCCCCTCACCAATTAAAGTAATACAGCCTTCCAATACCTGCTCCCAATTAAATCTGAGCTGTATTACCTGCCTTGATGCAGCTGGTCACAGATTCCTACCACTTACTAGCATTCATTAGCCCAATTCATTATACAAGGGCTGGTGGCAGGAATTCAAGCTACCGGCTTTATTCAGGGGCCATCAAAATTATCAGCTTTCAGCACAAGGCCCCAGTAAGAACAGGATTAAGTGAAGGGAGAGGGAATTCATACAGTAGCGAAATGTCATTGTTTCTACTTTGCTCATGTCTCTTCTAGATCAGTGCATCAGGAGCATCCACTGGGTGTACAAAAGAAGACAGCTGGTCACAATTGGAAGAAAGCCTTTTGCTCATTTGCTTTCAGTATAGCTCCTAATTTTGTTTTCCTGTGCCTCTTGCCTCCCAGCCTCCTTGCTCTAAAAGATCGCCTATTGTCTGATCTAGAGCCTACTTACAGATGTGATCATTAACCACTTAATGTCTGCTGCTGCAGACTGGCTCACTACAGTTTAAAGACAAGCTTTCACTTACTGAGATGAAAAAAACCCCTAATTTTTCTGACAAGATGAAAAATTGCTGGATTGCTGAGGTTTTACTGCCCAGTGTAATAGGGCTTTTCCAGGCCTTTGGTGCTCCCAGGATGCTCTGCTAGGTGATAGTGTGCGCTGTGGCAGGTCGTGTAGAAGGAAAAGCCGTCTGCCGCTCTGAAGCGGTTTAAGTGTCAATGACCACTCTGTAGGTGAGCTTCCAGAATTTTCTGGCTGATGGTGACAGTAAGACAAGCAGCCCCATCATAAGCTTTGGGGCTATCACAAGGAAATATGACAGAGAAAAAGGGAGATTTACTCTTGCCTGCTGCTTGGAGGTGGCACAATGCTGTCACGCTCCAGCTCTGCCCAGTCCAAAGAAGACTGTGGCCATGTCATGGTTTGCTGCTGGCCTCTCTGAGGATGGTGCAAGCAAGGAGATTAAAGAGAGAGGAGAAAAAAAAATAATATTTCCTGTGAATGTAGTGAAGGGAGGGGCTTGAAAAATTCAATCTAGACAATTTTGGATCAATTTTAAGCTAATTCTTTACTGCAAACACTCATCTCTTGTCAAGGATCAGCAACATATGCACATCCATAGCATTTTTTAAGGTGGTGGAGGATGTATATTAGTGTTTTCCTCTCAATTAACTTCTAGGCAATTTTCCCAGCTAAATACATAGCATCTTTGGCAACATGCCAACCAAAACCTTAAGACCCAACACTAAATTCTGTACTTATACAGGCAGCTTAGATTTTCATGTGGTGAACTGGAAGAATGCCAGTAGCTCCCACCATAAACCTAGCAGTAGGAACACTATATATATTTTTTTATCAAGAAACTCTACTTTACTTTTCTAAGACCACTTCAAAACTGCACCATTTTAATGTTCCTTTAGCACAAAATAAAAGAAAGATTTAACCTGCTATTAAATTAACCCAATTAGCCATTTATTTCATGTAACCTTACACTTCTGATGGCATTAAATCAAACACACCAACATGTGGATTTTTTTCTTTTTTTTTTTCTTTCTTTTTTTTTTTTTTTTGTAAGTTATGGTAATTACACACTGCCTGCTAGACAATAAATTTCTCGCTAGCCTTTTGCCCTGTTCTTTCCCTGTGGAAGAGGATTATTAGAACAGAAGCATTTCAGGACCTCTCTTCATATAATGCTGTCCTGGAAAAAGATGGAATACCTATGCACCTTAAGGCATAAAATAAAAAAAAAAATTAAAAAAAACAGAGAAAAATGGGGGTTAAGGAAAAAACAAAAAGAAAAAATGAAAAAAAGGAGCGGGGGGAAGGAAAAAAAGTAAAATATTTACAAAGGGCTGTCTTCCAGGCATGATAAACTGAAGTGCAGGTGAGAGCAGACTCTATATGTTGTCCCTGTCATTGGACTCAGATCATGTACCAAAGGCCACTGTTAACTGAATTTTATGGTTTTTTTCCAATATCTTTTTTCTTTTTTTTGAGGGGTGGGTAGCTGAAGCAGGGAGTGGGGAGAAAGAAAACCCATTTCAAGCAAAAACTGGCCGGAATCCATGATCAGAATGTCCAAATCTGTCTCTGACACATTCGTAAAGACAGAAGCCAAACAACCATGTGTGGCACAACTGCCACCAAGGGTGATGCTCTGGCCCTCCTTTGCCCTCCAGGCAGCATCTTTTGTGGCCAGGTCGCCTTTGCTGCTGCCCTGTGCCTGCAGCTAATGTCCTGCATTTGCTGGTGCCGTTGTGTCCCACTGTCGGGCGGTCGGTGAGGCAGGTTTGTCCCAGAGCGATGAGGAGCTGCGGCCCCCGCAGCGTGCCCGGGGTCCCGGCCGCAGCGCCCCACGACAGGGCTCGGGTCAGCTCCTTCCCGCTGCACACCGAGCCTGTGCGCAGCTCGGGCAGGAAACTCCCAGCAGCATACTGGGCATCCTCACAAAGCAGGGAGACTGCCCTCCTTGGTTCTGTTTAGATGTCTTCTTCGGGGCTTACTTTCAAAGATGGCTCTGACTTCTGACCCTGCTGCAGATGGCTTAACTGTTGCCTTGGCAGACTGCCACTCACATCCTGTTTCCAGTCTCACGTTCTCTTTCCTTTGCAACGTGGGTAACCCTGCTCCCGGCTTTTAATTTCTCCTCCTTTCCCCCCTTCCCCCTATCCACCCCTCCCTTCTTTTCCAGCTCCCCTGGCAGGCACAGCTCCTTGGCTCGAGAAGCTTGTTAGGTATTTGTCATCAAAGATTTTATTCTTCCTTGCATAAAGTTCACCCACGATGACAAAACTAATGAATGACTGTAAGAAGCACCATGATATTCTAGCTAAAGGAAGTGAAAAGAATGCCTGAAGTGTCTTTCCTTCTTTCTTTCTTTTTTTTTTTTTTTTTTTTTTTTTTTTTCTTTTTCTTCCCTGGCTGTCAATGCTTTAATTTATCAATTAACTTCACTTGCAACCCTAGTAAGCATTAACAATCTTTTGAATCTTATATGGGTTTTTAAATATGAAGAGCTTTGTTATCTTCACAGACTTTTAAAGATAGATTGATAAACTGTAAATAGTACAAATTTGATATGGCATCTTGAATTGATATATCTAGAAGACTTTTGAAATAAATTACTTCCAACTCTTTATCTGTTATTAACTCTTCAGGAATCACAAAGTATTCAGCAATGTGAAATATGAACTGTTCTGAATCTGAAAGAATCTGAAAATATATGCCCATTACTGTTTAATTCAAATTCAGTACTGGAGAAGTTCAATCCTTTTAATTTTGTTTCTTCACTCTTGAGAAACTTTTGCACGTCAATTCCTTACTTTACCTTTAAAAAAATATTGTTTCTCTAAAACATGTCCACTGCAGTTCTGGATTTACATATCTTTGTATTCAAATGTAAAGATTTAAAATTTTAACTTGTAAAATACTTGAAATCACACTTTTAATGCAGAATTGCACTCGGGTCTACATAAACACCCTTGGACTAACAAGAACCAGATTAGGATTCTTCTTTTCTGGTTTAATTCTAAAGTAGGCTGAAGCAGGGAGCAAAGGGAATGAGCATGTCCCAAGCTGACACACCTTATGGTGGTGGAGAAGTTAATAGAAAGCCTATTGGAAAAAAACTGTTGTAAAGTCTGACCCACAAATTCTGACATAAAACAGGACATGTGTTTACACATGTGTTTTGCTGCTCTGAGATGCACTGTTACAGACCGTACTGTTTCTACCTTTCTTGGGATTTTCACTTAATCCTGAAAAAACAAGGCTTGAAGTATTCAAGAAAAGGTAGTTCTTAGGATGAGAACAGAATTTCCTCAAAGGAAAATGAAAAACTTTGTTGTGGATTAACCTTGTCCCTAATTCCTATTACCTTTAATGTTTGATGCTGTTGTGTGGTCTGATTCTTAAGCAGCTAATGGCTACCAAGTAATTCAAAACATTCCTGTCTACTAGCTAAACAGATTTCTTATTTTAGTCCAAGCCAACTGCTCTGCCTCTGTGGAATCATCTTTTCCAGACACTAGGTTTTTCTGGTGAAAATACCAAGTACATGTGTGTCAGCTTCACCTTTACAGATCTGTGCTATGATTGCTTCTTTTTAGTTTACTCCTAGATATAGCACTGGGTAAATAAACAAGAACTTCCCATCTCTTCACCTCATTTATTTAAAATATGAGAGTTACTTATGCCCAAACAGACAAAAAAAACCCCACACACACAAAAAAGAAAGGGTAAAAGAGAAAGAAGCATGCACACTTTCAGGATTCGTCTTTGCAAGAAGATTCTTCCATTTATTTGCATTGCCACAGCTGTTCACTGTGGTGAAAACAAACTTTGAAACACCTTTTCCAACCTGACTCAATAACAATCTCAGATGTTATGGTACTGCCACTTTTTGGTTTTGAATTTTTTGCCTTGTGTAGACTGGATCATTCCTTATTTTTGTGGGTACACAGTAGGTTCTTCTCACATCTGTAGTGCCTCCTGCCTGGGATGTATTATATATCCAAAGACACTGGATTTTCAGAGATTTGTAGGATAACATCTGGTTTTCTTACATGCTGTTGTTCTCCATGGGAGGTAATCAAGCTTGCACACTGTGATCCCTTGGGGATCTTTGGCCGTAGATGGACAGTGTGCACTTGCTGTCCGTGTTTCACATAAACCATTCAGCTGTGTGTTCAGCTACAATGCCACAAATTATTGGAACTTCACTTTGATATTTCAGACATTTCCATAAAAATATTCAGTGATGTGTAGATACTGCCTTTGAATGATTTTGGTCTTCCATTTTTCCAGAGTAGTGGCTTAGCAACTGCACACAGGAAGAGACTACTCTGCAGGTAGCACTGATGACACCTTTCTGCTCTTCGATCTGTACTCAAACTGAACAGGAGTTTCCACAGGTATGATTAGATGCTTTACACAGCTGAAGTAAATATTTTTACTGTCCTCATTTTTCTTGGCTAATTCCTCCTTGAATTTTTGTACAATTTCTGCTGTTGTGTTTTCCACTGTTGATTTAAGACATTGAGAAAAATAGACATATAAGTTTCTATGATTCACTCTGGAAGTAGTTATTCTTTTTTTTTTTATTTTCTCTCCTTTGGCACTACTCTGTTAATTCTGTGTTTTTGTTCAATATATTCTGTATCAAAAGCAAAAAAGCAAAGTTGTTATGCTTGTAATAGACACACCAACCTTACTATGTCTTTTGAAATCTACTTTTACTGCTTACTCTTTTTTGTTCTAAAAAAGCTGCTTGAAATCTTGTTTCTGATAGGATTTAGTTTAATTTACACGTGACATTTTGAAGTGCATACTTTCTTTCTGTGAAACTACATGGAAAAAAAGCATGTTCCATGGTTTTCTTCTATGGCTTCTCTTCATCTTCTACTTGCACTGTGGTTTTATGATCATGTAAGAAGTTGTGATGGTGCAGAAGTTGAAGCCTTGCCCCAGATGCTCTCCAGGACTTTGTAAAGTTCTACAAGTCTTGCTATTCCACCATCTACACAGATGAAATTTGATTAAATTTGCAACTTTCAATGACAATGAGAAATTTTTTTTTTTGTTTAATTTAAGAATAAATCATGCTATATTGATATCAATGGTCTCCACCTGTACCTACAAAATTGATCCAGTGATCTATTTCCATTCTCCAACCATGCACAATAGCAGACACATAGAGAACAACATAAGAACAGGGAAACAGCTCTGATACTTTACAGCTCCCAGCACTGGAACTTATTAAGCCATGGATAGCAGCTTTGGGCTTAATAGTCCTTGATGGATTTTTTTCTTCCAAGAATAGGGAGCAATCTCAGAATTTCACACTGGTAACACCTTATATCAAAAATTCTACAACTTAACTATGTCTGCATTGACATTTCTGAGATCCCTGACCACAATTCACCCTTTCACATAACTTTTTGACACCATGTGTGTTCAAAAACTTGTGTGAATTTTCTGCATTTTTAAATTTGTATTTCATGTACCTTTTTATCTGATAAAACTCCATCTTCAGAAAGGAGTGTTGAAAATAGCTAAACTTTTCTCCAGACTCACCATAAGCTGATAATTAATTATCATTGTGGAATCCAAGGTTGAGGAGTTTATTTGGTTTTATTTTTGCAAGGATTGATTCGTGTTTTGACCTCCATATTTTTATAGGGGATTTTCTAGAAGATTGTGAGCTTCATAGCGTGCTCTCTTTCTCTCCAGACCTTTGAAGACATTGTCACCTGCAGAGTGGTTTGCACAGGCAGAGCAGTTTTGAATCTGAAACAATCTCATAGATACTACATGACTAGTTCCTTTCTGAACCAAAAAATCCTTTCTGATCTTTCTCCAAGGTACAAAACCTTTCTGTAATTCTAATGCCAAGTCTCAGTATTGGTTTGAAAGCAGAATAAACTTTTGGAAAGTTTTTTCTTTGCATTTATCTTTTTGTTCACACACTGGATATAACAGATGCTGTACACATCCTGCCATTTTCATGGATGTGGACAATATTTCTGCTGAGCAAAGGGGCAGACATTCCTTATAGTTTTTGCTCTGGGATGTCACTCATTCAGCCACATGGTCAGCTGTAAATGTTAGTATTATGTCTTCCAGAAACTGTATCCAGGAACATACTAGTTATAAAAACTGTAGAACCAAGGTATTTAGGCTTGATTCACCGTTTTCCTTTTCCTTATTCTGTTTTGTAACCAAACAGTATCATTGTTGCTAAAACTCTCTCCTTGTAGGTGTTCTCCAACTGTATTACTCCCACTGCTTCACTGCTTGCCTATGTGATGTACTCAAACATAATGTCTGGGGTAATTATCTTCCTCAGGAATGGGCGTTTCTTTTCCCTGGCATGGTGCAATCCAGGACTGTTGCAAATGTGCATCAGTGGATTTCTGTCACTCTTTTCAACAGAAATACTGCACAAAAAGGGGCATTCCTCTCCTCACTATGAATTCCTTTCTGGTGAAAGTATGTATTTTATCACAGCCTGACATTTGCATACTGGTACTTCTAAATAATTTCATATCAATTTAGATATCTGGATAAGTAAAATAATTTGAGTATCCTATTGAATTATTTTTCTAATGCTTGCAATTTTCTTTCAATTACTTTTGATTTGTATCCTGTATAGTACAAATTTTATGCATTTCCATATTTTAAAATATATGGGGTTTATTTCAATCTAGTGAGTACATTCTTAGCTATTTTAGTGGGACATTTCTCTAAATTCTCTCTTTTTTAATTTCTATTTTTTTTTTTGTAGGAAATCTTGCACCTTTTATTTTTCAAGGCAAACAAGCTCAAATAGGTTAAACAGGCCATCTGGATTTTCTCCCTCTTCTTTACTGAACTTACTTCCAGCAACCCATGCACTGTAGATACTGCTGCCATTTTGCATGGTACATAATAGCAAAAGAATAGCTATTTAGATTTACAGATTGCTTATTAAGAAGATATGGTAAAGATATAATCTCATTTCATTCTTTCTGTCCTTAGTCCTATCTTCTGATTAGTTTCAGTAAGCCACGCTTTATTTCTAACACCATGATTTTTTTTTCCCTCCTTTGTATAAGGCTCACATAAATGTGGAATAAATAGAGAAGGGCATGCTAAAAAAAAAATAAAAAAAAAAATAGTATGACAAATTTGAAGTATACTTTCTATCTTGCCAGCTCAGCTGAATTCAGCAAAATGGGGAGAGGACGAAGTAAGATTGCTCCATGAAGATTCCTAGTGTCAGCCTTTGGTAAGAGATATCACTGCTTATGGAAAAGCTGCATTAACACTGTCCTGGATTTGTTATTTATTTAAGTGGTTTCACATGGGACACCAGATGTCTCTATATGTAACAGAGTAGATGGTGTGGAGAAAATACTTTCTGGAATCCAGAAGACATAATATATGTATATGAATATAAATATACATTCATGTGTACACACACACACACAGATAGATATAGATATATATATAAATATATATATAGATATATATATATATATTGCTTGCTTGTGTATACACATACACTGAGACAGCATGGGTGAACTTCTACAAAATTTCATCAGCCAAAGCTAGTGGATATTATTTCACAGATGGTTGGAAGGACCAAGAATTCTCTTTGTTCTAGGACTTCCGTCACTTCCCAAAGGAGCTATACAGTATAATCAGTTTGATATACACGTGCAGTCATTTATATTCACACATTTTATGCAACTTTGACTCACACTTCCTTTCTCCTATTCTCCATTTTGACAATTAATGTGTTTTGTTACTGAAGCAGCTAAAACATGCAGGATCATTTTTCTCCTATGACACTCAGTTCACCATCAGTTTCAGAGATGTCGTTCTCTGACAACACATAAAACAAGTATGAGCTTTATTTAGGCATTTTGGAGTCAGTTTTTGTTTTCTAATTCTCCATTTCTGTTTAGACCTTTAAGTAAAAATAGCTGCAAGACAGAAATGTCGCTACTACAGCTTCTCCTTCAGGGCTGTATTTCTTCAGTCACTGCTGCAAAATCTGTTCCATATAACTTTCTCTACAGGATAGAGAGGAGTTTTCAGAAACTCATTACTTCCCACCATCCCTTACTCACAAGGTTTTTTACCTAACTCTTAGATTCACTCTCCTAAATCAGTGACATTGAAACTGCTGAGCCTTAGGTACATGCTTTGTATCTTCCTCTTTGAAGATGTGACCAAATGAAGACCTGATTAATGATATTTTGCATGTTGTATGCACACCAAATGATATGGAGTGAGACCTGGTATCCTCGTAAAGCTACATCTCTTGGCCATCTACCAGAATGCATGATGTGTGACTGTAGCTATAGGGACCTGAACATCAACTTGTTTGTCTTCAGGACTTCCAGACACGTAAGTGTCTAGATCACACCTTTTGATCCCTGTTGCAGGAATTGCAGGAAAACAATTTTAACCAGGCCTCTAATAGGTCAAAATGATTGAAAGAGTGGAAGAAGTGTTAACAAATAAAAGTCTGACCTACTGCTCAAGGCAGGTAGCACTACATGTCAAGACTGAGTAGAAGACAGGTTTTAAAAGACCTCATATCCCTGATGTAGGTAGGTTTGATCTTCCACAGGGCAAAGTATTTCAATCTCTGTAGGATGCCCATTCATCATTGTTCTATTCATCACCTCTGAAAATCAGTGGACAGGTTGGTTTTAGCCCAAAAACAGTATATGCAGTAGCATACTGAACAAAATAGCATAAGAGGAAGGCAGAAGAGAAAAAGAAGGGAATATTTGTACTTGTTAGCATTGAATGCTTAACTTAGAAGCCAATTTTTCTAATCCTCGGTGAAGAAAGACAGATTACCCTGGACCAAAAGCTCTTGCAGAGGTGTCCAGAGAAAACCCTTATGGTACTACAGAGAATGTGGCAAATGACTCTCAACTCCCATTACTATTCTCCCATTACTTCTATCTGCCCCTAATTCCATGGTGGGGTCAACCAGAAGGAATAGTGACTAGTTTCACACTCAGTTTCAGATATTCAGCATCAGAGCTGCAAAAAATAACAAAAAAGGATCAAGAAAACATAGAATTAAGAAAAAGGAGAATCCAAGGTCCCTTCCTTAATCTCTTGCTATAAATCCTGTTGCATATATTTTATTTGGCAGCAAGCTATTTCAATATATAACACTGACATTTTTCAAGCAAGTCAGTTCTGATTTTGAAACCTGAAAGTTTTCAAGGGTTGTGGTATCTGATATCTTCACTTTAATTTTTTACTTCTGATTCAATTCTATGATAATATATGTGAGTTTTATTTGTTTTCCTTATTTTTGATGCTTCTGCAAGTGAAACAGACAATCAGCTTCATATTAAGAGTCACAAAATCCACTAAGTGCTTACTGATATAAAATCAATGATTAACAAAACCTTTGCACACTGGTGATGCCTTTAATAATTATTTCACAAGTCTAGACCCAGGTGTCATGATAATTACAACCAATAATGGCTCTAATACCTTTTGAATTGATTACCATGGATTTGTTCATACTTGCCAGGACAGAAATAAACCAAAGACTGCTGCAGTTATTTTGATTTGTACCTGAAAGGTTTTCAGCCTTAAGAAAGAACTCTTTAAATTAAAAGCGAGTCTAATTGAGTGCATTTTTTCCCAGACTTTCTAAAATAGACATGAATAGTGCATAGCACACACAATATTTTTAAAAAATAGATAGAAATAACTAATAAAATTTTACATAATTAATGGTAAAAGCAAGAGTAAGCTGTGAACAGCAGCACCATTTATGCTAATGTCAAGATAAAATTCAGGCATAGAAATTAATTATAAAAATTAAAAATTACCTTTCCTTCATTTGAGCCAAGATGCATAGTATTTGTCCCTGGAAATAAGCATACTGGGTACTGTGCAGCGAAGGAGGCTGACAGGGGTGCCACATTTCAGTAGAGTCCTATTTGCTAATACAGAATGGAGGAGCAGGGGACCTCTTTTCTATATAAGTGATTTCAGTCATTTATTCCTCTGGAATGTTTTTGAAAGTTAGCAGTATTCAAATCATATTTCAATTTTTAATATTACACAAAGCTCTTATGATACCCTCAGATCAGCTGATATGGTAATACATGGATGACTTGCCAAGTGATGGAAAAGCATTTGCACTATGCACTTTATTAAAACCTCCAGCTGTAATCTTTGTATTCTGAAAATGACAACATTCTCATTCTGAGTATCAATAATAAAAATGCCTAACATGTTAATCAGGACTTCCCATTTTACTTTTAAACACCTAATGAGACAGCAGAAAAATAGATATATGACATTAATTCATCAATATAATGGGGAAACCAAGTCATTAAAACCTCCTTTTATCTCATCTAAATTTAAAAAGCATTTTGGGGTGTCTAACTTCAGGTTTACAACTGTCTGGGGTCCCTACACAGACAGTGAGGAGAAAGAGGGAGAGATTAGGATAACCAAGAGAAATTATGCCACAAAGAAATGTGACATTTAGCTTCTCAGCAACCTCTGAGGAGGAATTGTGAAGGGCTACCTAATACTAGATAGACATTGTTTACATTTTGACCCAAAGCTTCAAATTTACTGGTGCATACAGGCAACCAGTGGCCTGTGCCACATCTAATTTGCTACCTATGGCCACAGTTCAGCAGGCCTAATGATACTTCTTGGTGAAAAATATTAGAAGAAGCTGACTTTAGAGCCACTAGGAAAATTAAAACCTCAGGACTCATTCCCAGTTGCTAGTAGAGTAATTAATAGATTACTGAAATAAACACAGTTCAAGTATTATAATTATAGCTGTAATACTCTCAGGGTATTCACACAGTACAAAGGCACAGGCCTCATGATTCATTCAGTTTCTTCAGATATCAGTGAACCACAGAGAAGATGTCACCAGAACAATTAGCATACAGGTACTTCATCCTTTGCCATGACTATAAGGCAATGATCATGTGCAAAGGCTGTCCTCAGAAGAGTTATGTTACTGGGTATGGATACAGGTTGATCTGGCTGCCTAAAATACCGAGTGCCATTTGACATTGTGTTCTGCCTGGCCATAACTGCTGTTCCAGAGGAGCATCATGAAGGTGTGGGTCTCACACAGATCCTATGTAATATCTGCCCACCCCAGGAGAATGTCTTGGAGTATCTCAAAACAAAATGCCTATATTTAGGCAAAAAACTGCATAACTGTAAACCAACAGAATTACTGAACAAACACATAACTACCTTATGAGAATTGAAGTAGCAGAATCTGATCCAGACATGTTTTGCTATTTGCACCCCATGGGATGAATTTGTGCCAAGTACGTTTAAAATGCTGTCTGTGGACTCTCTTTCCTTCTCTTGAGTTAGAGTGACTATTTATCTGAAAGGAGAAGCAGGGTAGATATGATCTAATTTACATTTGAAATATACCAGGATTTGTGGTTAAGGGTGTAAAACAATACACATTAAAGGAAATGTCAAAGCCATTCATAAAGTAAGATCTCTTTATAGGTTGCAATATAAGCAGAGATTCTATCAAGTTGTTATTTTTTCTACATTATGTTTATTGCAAATTTTATAAATTCTCATTTCATATTAATATTCAGTATTTGTACAGTATGTGGACACTATGTAAACATGAATGTTCACATTGTCATGTTGTTATGACAATTTGGTTCATTTTTTATAACTTCCATAAATTATCTATGAAACTGCAAACTAGCTTTATCACTGGCATCATCATTTTCAGAAGCATATTAAATATTTTGTGAAAAGTGTATCAACATAAAGGAACAAAGGGAATAGCTCATCATATTTGATTATTTTATGATATATTTATATAAATACTTAGTATGGTATGTTTGATGACTGCAATCAGGCACCTGGGACAAGATCAGAAGAAAAAAGCTTTACAAGAGTGTCGGTTCGATAATGAATTTAAATCACTGAGAATCTGCAAGTGAAAACAATAAGATTATTATATCTGTGTAATTTCTGGCTTTGGTGTAAGTGCTCTGGGACTGGCACCAGCATGCTTTGAACTGCTGTAGTGACCTGGTAGACCTTTAGCTCCTGCAGATTCATTTTAGTGGTCTAATGTCTCTGGATAGATTTACCCCATGAGTCAAGGGTTGAGAAAATTCATTCATGTTCATGCTTGTAAGCCCCTGGGACCAAGTACATGTAAAGAAGAGCCCATGACGTTGCATTAGATTTTAACAGCAGGAGCATCATCACCTTTCTGGCATTTTCTCTTCAAAGACAGACAAACATAAAGCACTTACTTTCGTCTTACATGAAAAGCTTAAAAATGCTACAGACAGGCCTGACACCAGAGTTTGTCTGTAATTGAATGGCAATCTCTCCACACAGCAGAAGTTTCAAAGTAACCAAGCATGCCTGTTGCTTGCCAGCAAGAAGGAAAGCGTGAAGCCATATGAATAATCTGTCCAACTAGTTGAACAAGATTTTATTGTTATAGGACACCATTTGGCATGGGTACTTACCCACTCAAAATCGTGTTTCATTTTAGAATTTGTGTTTTGTTAATTAAATTAATTAATTTGTTTTAGCATGGAATGCTATAGATAGGTCCTATTGGCTCAGAAAATGAAAAGACTTCCTGGCTAATTGGCCAGAACCAGTTCATACTGCCTAATTACTAGCTGATGAGACAATAACCATCTTCTTTTTAAATATCTCTCACCATTTTGAGAAGTTTTAATGCAGTTACACACATACATATTCCTTGGCACATAATAGACAAGCAAATCTGACATAGTTTTCAACTTTTTTGTCGATAGTAGTACAACAGAGTTCTTACCCCAAGCATTATGCAGAGAAAGAGATGCCAATAAATCTCTTTTGCTTCTGCAGGATAAATGAATGAAACTCTGAGGGGTTTTGGCAAGTTACGGTGGTTTTCTACATATCAGTAATTTTCATTGTAGAGGAGGCTCAAACGTCACTGCAAATTATTAGGCACCAAATTAATCTGAAATCAGCAGGAAATTACACAGAATGTCACTGAAGGAAAGGTGAGGCTGTGTCTTAATTTATATTATTGACATATGTTAGTTCCAGCTGGGCCTAAACAAAACCTTTCAGGATAAACAAATCAGCATTTGCTTTGCAGGAAAACTTCTGACTAGCTTTACTGCCAATCTACACTTTCCACTGGCCTGTAGCTAGACCAAAATAGTTGACAATATGTGAGGTTTAGACATCTCTTCAAACCTCTGAAAGATGATATAGATTTACTTGTGTGCTCTTTCTTATTCCACTTTGATGACAGATCCCAATTTGTCAGCACCAAACCACAGTGTCTTCAAGATGAAGGTATGGGTCTGGGACATGCAGAAACACCATGCCAAGGCACACTCATTTCACATGACTGAAATGCCTGGTGAAAGTGTAGCCAGTGATTAGCCACCACTGTTTCCCAGGCTGCTAGGAAATGTTTTATCATGGTGACAAGGAAAGCACCACCAAGCAGACCTTGTGGAACCAACTTCACAGTGGCAATATGGGACCATGAGTGCTTTTTGAAGTTATTTCTTAAGCGATGTCATGCGATGTTCAGACATGGACTTTGAAAACAACATTGTACTAGGGAATGAATTATGCAAATGGGTTGAGTTAGGACAAGCAAAGTACAGTCTTATGGCTCTTAAGTGATAGTATGGTTAAAACCATCTCACTGAAGAAAGACTAGGATGCTAAAGGAGAATACAGCAATCTCCATGGCCATCTATGAAAACAGATAATCACCATTTACAAAACTATGGTCAAGGAAGTTTCTTGTGAAAAATCTTTACTAGTCTGCTGTATTGGGTTCACATGGTCAGGTTTTTGTAGTAGAGAGGCTACAAAGGTTGCTTCTGTGAGAAGCTTTTAGAAGATTCCTCCATGTTCAGCAGAGCCAGTCTCAGGCAGCTCCAGCATGGATGTGGCACCAATGGACACTTAATGCCTTAAGTGTGATAACACACTTAAGAAGGTAAAATAAAAGTTATTGCACAGATGTAATTGCAACCAGAAAAGAGAGAAATGAGAGAATATGTCAGAGGAACAACTCAATAGACAGCAAGGTTACTGAAGAAGGAGGAGAAGAAGGTTCCCCAGCCTCTGGAGCAGAGATTTCCCTGCACCTCGAGATGAAGACCATGGCGAGGCAGCTGTTCCCCTGCAGCCCATGGAGAACCACCGGGATGCAGAGGTCCATCTGCAGTCCATGGGGCAGACCCACACTGGAGCAGGTGGATGCCTGATAGGAAACTGTCAACCCATGGGAAGCCCGTGCTGGGGCCTGTGGACCCATGAAGAGAGAAACCCATGCTGGAGAAATTTTCTTAGTAGGACTCACGACTCTGCTGGGAACCCATGCTGGAGCAGGCTGATCCTGAAGGACACCCATTGAAAAGTAACATTTTGTGGAGAGCTGTTTCCTGTGAGATGGACTTGCATTGTAGAAGTCCATGGAGGACTGTTTCTCAGTGGAGGAACCCTACTCTGCAGCAGTAGAACTCCTCCCTCTGAGTAGCAGTGGGGACAAGGTGTGATCACCTGTCTGTAACCCCCACTTCCCATCTCCCTACACTGCTGAGGGGGAGGAGGTACAGCTTGAAAAGAGGAAGGGACAGAGGAAGGTGTTTTTAAGATTTCTTTTGCTTTTCATTACCCTGCTCTGATTTTGTTAGCAATAAAACCGTTTAAATATCCCAAGTTGAGTCTGTTTTGCCTGTGAGAGTATTCTGTGTGGGACCTCTGCCCCTTATCTCAACTCAGTATCTCAACCTTAGTTATATTTTCTCCCCCCACTCCACTTGTGGAGGGGAGTGGTAGAGCATCTTTGGTGGGTGCCTGGCATCCAGCCAGGGTCAACTCTCTACACTACGTACGTTACATAAATTGAAATTATCTATGACATAAAAGATTTACTTAATGTGAATAACTAGGTATATATAGGTGATATCCATCTGGGTAAAGATGCCACATAGAGCAACCTCGACAGGCTTGAGAAGTCAGCCAACATAAACCTTAAGAAATTCCACAAGGCAAAGTTCTGTGCCTGACTTGGAGCAATCATCAGCATCAATACAGACTGAAAGATGAATGGATTTTGAGCAGACCTGCAAAGAAGGAGTTTGGGGATATTGGTAGATGAAAAGCTGGAGCCAGCAATGTGGACTTACAACTGAAAAAAAAAATCCAGCTGTATCTTGGGCTGAATCTAAAGTGTGGACGGAAGGGCAAGGGAGGTGATTCTGTACCTCTACTGTGCCCTCATGAGATCCCACCTGCAGTCCTGTGTCCAGCTCTGGGGTCCTCAGCACAGGAAGTCATGGACCAATCAGAGCAGGTTTCTTTGAAAACCATGAAGATTTGATGCTTCTATATTGAATTTCCTTCCAATTGTTTGGGTTTAAGAGTGTTGTAAAGTGGTCTAAAATTAAATACACACATCATACTGAAGCAAAATGCATAAATCATGCAAAGAAGGGAAGACTTGATGGTTTTGACCAGCTTTAATTAATGTGTTTCTACTGTTGGTAACCTTTTCTTTTTTTCTTTTGAGGAATGCAATTCAATATTTTGTCAAAATTAATCTCCTAGCTCAATGCTCATCTATATTTGCCTGTGCTTTATTGTGTAACTAGTTCTACTACACACCCCAAATAAGTAATTTCCTTATAGGTTCTATTAATAATGGCAGAATCAGTTTTTGTTTGTACTGGGCAGGGAGCATAAGGAATGTGTTGGTTTTTATTAATGAACAATGCCAGAATTCCTTTATAAACTCCAGAGAATTTTAGAGCATTATTAGAAACTCATTCATGACCACATATGAATCACTATGGTTTTCCTGAGCAAGAAAGCTTTACTCTGAGTAGGGTATTACACATAATAACTGTGCCTCTAGCAAACATCACTCTGTTATGTTTTGCTCCCTATCCACATCTGCTTGCCAGACTGTTCAGTAGCTGTTTCCCTCTGCCTCTGTTCAACTATTCTGACTCCTAAAAATCTTAGGGAACTTAGCCAACCAAAAATTTACATTCCCTCTTACTAATGCCCAGAATGCTAATGCTTTTAATCTGTTTTCAGAAATCAGGTGAAAGCAATGAATGGTCCCTTATTTGACATTCTTTCCTCAAAAATTTCTGAAAAAAAATGAGATATTTCCTAATTTCCTATTTCCAAAATCCTAGAAAGTTCTGGGAAGAAGCACCCTCATGAGCTCAAACAAAAAATACCTCTCTATCCAAGAGGAAACAGAAAAGACAGACAAAATAATAAATACAACTATGCAGACTATCCCATATTCATCCATCTATCCATGGGATTAAGTTAGGAACAGCCCTTAGCTCTTGTTACAGATGAAAAATAGAGGAAAAGGCATTCTTCTGAAGGCAATTCAGCCCTCAGTCAGGCTGCTTGACTGTTAACTGTATTTTAGCTTTTCTACTGCTTTTGGGGCCAAAAAGGAAAACCCAGAAAACAAACAAACAACAACAAAAAAAAAAAGCCAAAAAACCCACCAAACCTTAAAGCAACCTCCATTTAGATGTGATGAACCTACAACTAGGCAGGACAAACCTAGTCCTGAGCGCTGCTGGATGTATAACCTAAGTTGAATAAACAGTGAAAGACTTATTTTCCATTAAGAGCTTGACATTTACAAAGTGACTGCATGACATATCATGTCATGTGTTATGAACTTTTAAAATAAAGATCCAAGCTGAGCACACATTCAGGAATTATATTAAAAGAGGTTTGGGTTTACTCACCATTACGAATTATCCACAAAGAGGCTGTCTTCTTTTTTTTTTTCTTTTATCGCATCATTATGACAAATATGTTTTTGCTCAAAATAACAAATAGTATGTACTGTTATTATATTGAATTGATATCAAGTGTTTCCACAGCAACTTCTCTCACTCTCTGAGGAAGATCTCAACCTTGCTACTCCTCAAGGGAGCACAAAGATCTCTCCCACTCCAGTCCTAGGAAATGGCTAGTTTTAAGAGAAATGCCAAATTATTCCTCCCTTCTAGAGATCACTGAATAATCATAATTGAACTTATGTCATTCCATTTAATTCCTCTAATGACTCCATTTTTTCACCTTGTTCTGAATTCTCCTGGATTTTCTTTAAACATATAATACAGGACCTCTTTTCTTTTGCAAAGTATGTTTGGAGTTCTATTAATGATTTTGCTAATAATATTCTTTTTTAATGTTAGTCAGGCAAGTTCTTGCTTTTAGAACAAACCTTTGTAGCAATGTCAAACCTGTAGTTACAGTCCTGACTAAATGAAAATAGAGACTGAATGTGAAATGCTGTGACCTGGGTTGAAAACTTGAAGGTAGTATGACTAAGAGGAAGATCACTGTGTCAAGATTCACCAGTTCCCCTGTCCTGAGAAGTTTGCTACTGGGTCATGTCAGTCATTGTTTACAGAACTAACACTGATACCCAGGAAGATTTGTGAGAGCAAAAGTAGATGGTTTTGACATTTAGGTCCTTTCCCTTTCCTGCTACACTCTTTTCCATGTGTGGACTTTTCACCTCTGTCACAGTACCTTGCAAAAACACACATACCTCACATAGCAGAAACTCTCTTACAAAATACTAATTGAGTCCTGCATATTTGTGTGCCTTCAATGGAAGCAGCCTCACTGTAGCACAGTGTAAAGCCATGATGGGTGTAGGTGGCCTTATATCAGCCATGGCATTGTGCAAGTGTGAGAAGAGGCCAAAGACTGCCCAACGCTGTACACAGATGATGCCAGACACCTCCAGAAGGATCAAGGAGCCAAGCTGATGTCACCTATGGTAAGGCATATTAAATAAATGACAAAAATTATGGACACACAGAGGAGAGAATAAAAAAAAACAACAATAAAAGCCAACCCAGGGGGGAGAAACAGCAGAGAGAGCACCAAGGTCAGAGCAGGAGGTGGAGGAGACTCTCAAGGTGGGAGACAGTGGATATTTCATGAAGGGCAAGGACCTTGAGACCCCTTTAAGAACCCATGCTGGTTTAGAGGAAAAGTATGAAGAGGAAGAGGAGAAACAAACTGACATGTGCAGACCATAGTCCTCATTCTCCACTTGCCATTCTACCACATTACATGAGTAAATGAGACAGGAGCAGAGGAGTGAGGTTGAGGCTGGGAAATGGAGCAGAAAAGCTATGGCTGTATTGTTTGTCATTTTATTTTGTTTGATTCTCACTATCCAAATTAATTTTAATTGTCAATAAACGATTTTTTCTGAAGACAAATCTGTTTTGCCAGATTTAGTAATTAATTAGTAAGCAATCTCCTTATCTTTACCTCTGTCCACAAACATTCTTCTATCTGATTTTCTTTTTGTCTCCTCTCATTCTACTGAGGCAGGGGAGATGGGTGAGAGTCTGAGTGGGAATTTGACTGTTAGTAATAGTGAACACACTGCTGAAATCAAAATGTTTTTCAAGTACAAGTTCTGCTTTATCAAGGTATGTAAAATCACCTGGAATATGAGGTGTGGAGGGTGAGCTGTTAAAGGTGAATTTTCCTCCATATAATTGTGGAGAAAAAGATTTTGTCCCAACAAAGTAGAATCTCAGCTGATGAATTTACAAGTAATTTCAACATTCTTATTTCTTCTGCAATGTGTTGCCAAATTGCCATCTTTGATTATTTCTGTTTCCACACTGATAGCCTCTCTGACTCTTTTACTTCACCTGACTTCTCATTTCCTTTCCAGTGCTGGTATTATTTGACATGTTCTTCATTAAATGATGCTTCCACTTCAAACTCTTCACTACAGAATTTTCTTTACTCTTTGATTTCAGCCTCAAATATTTGTCCTTTTGTTTGTTCCTTTGTACTTTGTACAAAGCTCTGAGGGGCACAAGACATACAATTTGTCCTCATAAAACTTCTAATATTGTGGGTTGCTCTTCAGAAGGCTTTTTGCACACTTTTGCAATAAAAATATTTTGCATACACCATTGAAAGTACTCTGCATAAATCTAATCCTGCTGGCAATCTTCAGGCCGGGAAAGAGAAAAACAAATGGAAAAAATGGAACATCTGAGTGGAATTTGTATTACCAAATTTCAAGATCAAAGATATAAAACCTGTTGCAATCTATACTGATAAAGTATTGTTTTGACAAAAATGCAGGGAAATAATTAATAACACTTAATAACTTGGGATGTTTATATTGTTCGGGTTTTTTTTGTTTTTTTTACCAAAGTAATCCCTGTAAAATTTACTTCAAATCATCTTTCCTAAGTGTCTTTAGATAATTGGCATTATTATATAACATCATAAAATATTAGTATTAATTTCCCTCAAACCCAGAAGGAGAAACATCTTTGAGAGGTTTAAATTTGAAAAGGAAGTGATATATATTTGCAAAGTCATGAGATGTAGAAACAGACATAAAAGTATAAATGGGGCCAAGCAATCTGAACTCATTCTGAAACAACCAGCTCATTTTTAAAAGGAAAATCAAATTAATAATTAACATTGTTTACCTGAGACAGGGAATCAGTGTGATCTGTAGGTCAAAAGCCTTATAGTATTTTTGAATTGTACTGTGGTACCTCTGATTAAGATGGACATGTCTCAGAATTTAAAAAACAAACATACAAAAAAGCTGAACTTATTACTGAGAGCCTATCTAACACAGGACAGCACTATTTTCTTAACA